AACTAGAGATGGCGGTGGCAGGTGGCCGTTGGAGTGCGACTGTCAAGCGTCAGATCCCAAGTCTGTCAGGTGCGCCGCCCCTGGATACGGATTCCTTCGGTGTCAGGTACGGTGTGGTTTGTTCAGTTCGGTGTCCTTGAGGCGAAGTGCTAGAGTGGTGTGCGAGGTTAAGTCTTGAGTTCGGATAGAGGTGCGGCCTGAACTGCCATGAGGCAGGCCAGTTTGGGTTGTTGCCCTTTGTGTTCGTAAGGCTCGGGGCCTAAGGGAGAGTTCGGGCTCCTTACAAGGAGTTCGGGCTCCTTGCCGGGAGTTCGGACCACTGGTTCCTCCTTTCGGAGCTCGCGCCTTGGCGTGCTATTTGTGCCGAGCTATTGCCTTTGCCACGTGTTGAGTGGTTACGTAGTCGGGCCAAATCTTCCTTCATCAGGAATGAATTGGCATCAGAGAGACCTTCTTGGGCTTGGATGATTTGGGAATATCACATATTCTTGGAATGGAAATGGAATCATGGCCCAGTGAGACTTGAGTTGAGAGGGTTAACGCAAGTCTTATTCCCTAAACATTTTGGCTGGCCACAAAAGGTGTGTCTTTATTATTAAGGACATGATGATATGTGGTTATTTACATCTCTGAAAGGGTGTGAATTGTAACCAAATCTGGTTTGGATCGGATTAGGTTTGAGTGAGTGACATCGTAAATGGACTAAAGAAATTGAGGGTCCATTTGATTTACAGTCGGAATTAAAATTGGAACCAGAATTGTTTATCCCCATATTCCATTTGGTTCAGATAAAACTCAAAATAGGAATTGAAATAAACTAGAAATGAGATTTCATTCCCAAGGAGGGGGAGAGAATGACTATTCCCTTACATGGGGAATGCCATTATATAAGGGATGAGAATGAGGTTCCAATTCTACCCAACCGAACAGTTAAATTTGGAATGGCTAGATTTCTATGCCCACAAACCAAATGGTCATTGAGTAGGGGTACAATTTGGGTGGGCCGAATCCAAGCCTGAACTGGTCCAGTCCAAAATTTTATATAGGCTGAGCTTGGATTTTCAGTCCTTGGGTTGAGTTTGGGCCCAAGAAGTCGGGCTATTTTTTTATTTTTCAGGCCAGGCTCGGACTTAGCCCTTACTTAGCCTGAGCCCGGCCTAAATATACACATTTATACATACATACATACATACATACATACATATATATATATATATACATATATATATATACATACATATATATATATATTGATATATATAAATATATATTACATACATATTTACATATATACATAAATATATGTATACATATTTGCATAAATATACATATATGTATAATTTCATAATGAAATTATTGATCAACTTGAGCACGGTCCAAGCTTGAGCCCAATCTAAATACAACATATTATAAGCTAGGCTCAAATTAAAAAAATCGGACTTGATCTCAGACTCGGTCTTTAAGTTCAAATTTTAGAATTGAACTCGGATTGACCATAAAGTAGGCCCAACCCGCCCGACTTACACCCCTATCCTTCCATACGAGGGTGAGCAAGTATACTTGGATCTCTGTTTTTGTTTTTATTTCTTTAGGTTTCCTTGCCTCAGAATGGGAGACCATTAATATGGATGAAAAGGGCAGTGGTTTGGACCATCCATGACCCATGCCATGATCCGTCATATCCCCTTGGTGTTGGTGGGTTCCATTCACTTCCACCAGCTCCACCACCCCCACTTGGCATCTTCTATTCACTCTCGAGTTGAGGAGCGGAGGAGAAAAGAGTATCGTTTCTACTTTCTGGTCGTGGTCGTGGACGGACGTATAAATTATTAAATTAAATTATAATAAGCATAAGCATAAGCATATCTTTGCTTAACCCTAGCCTTATTGGATGACAAGTAATTGAATACGCCTCCTTGAAATTAAGGCTTGAGTACTTATATGGTTTTCATTCTATAACTACAATGTTGTAATGTAAGTTAATATTTTATTTTTTATTTTAAATTTAATGGTCCGATTGGTTTGTAGTTAGAATCGGAATTGAAGTCTTTTATGGTTTATTCTCATAATCTGTTTGATTCAGTGAAGAATAAAAATGAAAATTAAAATAGTAAAAAAGGAATTTTATTTCCAAAAAAAAGATAGTAGGGAATGGCCATTCCCTCGAATGAAAATGGAAATGGAATTCCCATTCCGCTCAAGCAAATAGTTGGTATCCGATTCCGATTTCACTGCAAATCAAACCAACCCTAAATAACAAATGGGAAGCCCGGGTGTAAATTATATTAGAGGTGTAATATTTACGGACAAATAAATTATATTAGAGGTGTAACAATAGCCCACTTTTGTGGGCCACCCACCCTTACTGTAACGGGCCGTACGAGGGGTTTGGGTGCTTGTTTAGTCCATAATCACTCAAATGGGAAGCCCGGCATGGCCCCACACCACAAACCCAGTGGGCCCATTCTGTGGACAGCATAAATGCTTTTTTAAAAAATTAAAATAAACTAACAAGATAGATAAAAAATCTTGAAATTTTGATATATACAATTATTTTTGAATTGAAATAAAATAATATGGGCCGAACCCAAGCACCACACGGACCAGGGTATGGGCCGGGCCTCGGGACGGTCCATATCGCGGCCGGCACAGTCCGGTCCAATTCGCAGCTCTAAATTATACACACCAACACAGAGAAGGATATCAATATCAGTATATCACACATTACTACCCTCCAACCCTCTCGTTTTGTCGCATGTCACCGGAGCTGAGCTCGGCTCCGCTGGAGGAGCCCTGTCTTTGTCTGTTAGTCTGTTACCATTACCATTACCATTACCATTACCATAGCATAGTAAAGAGAAGCAACGCTACAAAGCAAAAGTTAGGCTTCTGATTCTCTGTGCGTTTCTACCTACTGCTTTCAGATCTCTTCTGCATTAACAACCTCACCCAACAACAAATATGTCCAAACCTTGGGGTGGAATCGGTGCTTGGGCTGCCGATGCCGAACGTGCCGAGGCCGAAGAGCGCGAGAGTGCTGCCGCCGATGCCAATTCCAAACTTGCCGCCGGCGCTGTTGAATCCCAGAATTTTCCCAGTCTTAAGGAAGCCGCCGCTACCAAACCCAAGAAGAAGAAGATGACCTTGTCTGAGTTCACCACTGGCACTTACGTCGGTGTCGGAGGAGCTTCCCGTCGGGATTCTTCTCTGGAGCCCAAGGGTTTAACTGCCGATGAGATGCTCCGCTTGCCTACTGGACCCAAAGAAAGGACTCCCGAAGAGATGGAATACGGTCGTCTTGGAGGTGGATTTCGATCTTATGGCCGTACCGGGCCTCCTCCGGGACGCTTGCGGGACAGAGGCGACGACACTGATGGCTCTTGGGGTGGTGGTGGCGGTCGGAGATCTTATGGGGGTTTTGACGACGAACGGAGGGCTCCCCCACCTAGGACTCCTGATTTCGATCAGCCTTCTAGAGCTGACGAGGTCGATAATTGGGCAGCGGCAAAGAAACCGCTCCCCCTTTCTTCCGCGGATTCTGGACGACATGATCGTGATCGGTATGGCTCTCTTGGTACCGGAAGTGGTGGTTCTAGGGCTGACGAAGCTGATAACTGGACTATTGGTAAAAAGCCACTTCCTGCTAGATCTACATCTTTTGGTTCAGGTTTCAGGGATTCCACTCCGGATTCAGATCGGTGGGGCAGGGGAGGATTGCGTGACGGGGATCGTGAGCGACCGCGGCTTGTTTTGGATCCGCCAAAGGGCGATGTAGCTCCCAATGAACCTGTGAGAACGAATAGATCCAACCCATTCGGTGTCGCACGCCCAAGAGAGGAGGTTTTAGCTGAGAAAGGAATGGACTGGAGGAAGTTAGATTTGGAGATTGACAGCCGGAAGGCGAGTCAGCCGACAAGTTCTCATTCTAGTAGGCCTTCAAGTGCACAATCGAGCCGTCCAGAGAGCCCTGCCGCGCAGGCACCGGAGGGAGCACCAAAAACTCGGCCAAAGATTAATCCTTTTGGAGATGCCAAGCCCCGAGAAGTTTTATTGGAAGAGAAAGGGAAAGATTGGCGAAAGATTGACTTAGAGTTGGAGCATCGTGGTGTTGACAGGTTCTTATTCTTTCCTTATCTAGGAGCGCATTCTGTTCTTTTGAGTTTTATCTCCACGGAGTGTTATTTGTGTGGACATATATGTTTTTTCTTGCTGCATGGTCAATCATTTGACAACTTATAAATGCCTACCGAAATAACATCTCTTGGCTAGCATATCTGCCCTGCTTTTGGCTCTTGGGAGGTGGAGCTTTCCGTCTTCTTCTTTCATTCTCCTTCGCTATTAATATATAAATGTGTTTAGTCAATTTTATGGTACAACTTTTAAGACCACTTCAGCAGTTGATTGTTTGTTGTTGCAGAATAAATTACTTATTAGTGCGACTAAGAGTGAAAATAAGATGCAACAATCTTCATAATATCCATAGGGGTCCTGAATAAACATACCCAGTGATTCTTAGGATGCGAAATCACAATAATTGATGTGGATGGTGAATCCTTGATATTCGTTTGGTGGCCAGTTGCTGTGTGGTTTAACTTTTAAGATGGAAGCTATGCAAATAATTTGTCAAATGGGACTACGGGGATGTGGTAAAAAAGGCCTTTGAAATTAGAAATCTTGATAGATTACCATGTAATTTCCATTGACGAAATTTAAGCTTGATGCAATTTCCTTGACAACAAGTTAGTTTGTCACTTACAGACAGGACTACTTGATTAGTGTTCTTGGAATTTTGTGGTGGAGAGCTTGGTGTCATCCTCTTATCTCTTATTCTTACATGAGTGTCAACAATTTGCAGTGTAGTGGGGATTTTTGAGTACATTGGATTGAAATCTCTGCTCATGTCAATTTGTTGTGAACAGTTTGGTGTAAACTTGTTTTACTTGCGATTGAGTAACTCTTCTTGGATGACAGTGGATAGTAGTGATATCATTTTAAATCCATCTTAATGATTTTGACCACTATATGGGATGCCGCCCCTTTTCTTGATATACAATTAAGTGGCAAACTTCATGGCAAGGGTTGTACATGGAGATTAGTTCAATGTCTTTCCAGTGGGTTTTATTCATAGTATTTGATGACAAGGGGCTAGGTTACCCCAACATAATGTTTATCTCTTTCCTGTTTCTCAACCAAAAAGTGAAGTCAATACCTTACCATCAAAAAACTACTATTGGCTAATTGACCCAATTTTTTTTAGTTACTGATAAAGAAGTATTTAATTTGAGGCATTTGTTACTCTGCCAGTGACAACACAAGCAATGGTTTTCTGAGAAAAAAGGAGCTCTGAATATATGTTGAGCTATGAAATAAAATTTCGTTTATTAGAGGCCATGATGGTAATGTTTTAATGAGTCCTTTGGGTCTGGTTGGGGTGGACAACTTTGTGAGGGTTAACTGTTAGAATTTCTACAAGGGCAGAAGATAGTATATGGCATTGGAAAGGAATGGGCTTGTGCTTGAAGGTGACTCGGGTAGTTGTAAACTGGCTGCAATTAATGCTGAGGGTTTTTGGGGCCTAAGAGATTTCATCTCTCATCGGAAAAGCACTGGTTTTATCATCCAATATGAATTGTTTGTTCAGATGTATTCACAGTTCTGTCAACAGTTGCATAGATAATTTAGCAAGGATGGGAATCAACAAGAATGAGTTAGAATGAGAAATGCCAGAGCAAGTTTTAATGTATAACTGTTTACTTATGTTATAGTGTGACATTGTCAGCCAGTGACTGTCTTGTTTTTTCTGTTTTTGTACTTACATCTTCAACTCAATGAAATTCACTGTTATGGATCAAAAAAAAAAGTTCATTTATCCAATAAACCACAGAAATTCTATTTGATGTTACTGGTCCCCCCCCTCAACATGGAATATATACAATGATTCTTTTAACACTTCACAATGCATTATTTTCCTAATCTTCTATTGCTTCTTTCTCTTTCTAGAATCCCCAATTTCTTATTAAATAATTGGCTTCATTGGTGTACTCATTGTATCTTCATGGTTTGGATTACTTGGCTAGGGCTAACTCTTTATTTGGATTTTGGCCTCTTGGGGCGATTGATGCATTCATACAGCTGGCAGGCACTTTTATACTTTACATGCGTGATCATTTTTTATCAGTAACAGATAGTTTTATTAAATCACTCAAAAAGAGATACAAGAGAGCAATACAGCCCTTTAGATGCAAGGATACATTACAAGGAAGCCACAACAACCATGGTTTTAAAAAACTACCCGGAAACGTAACTGGTCTGGCCGCTGGTTTCCAGGTTGACGGTTCCACTGTCCGGTTCGAATGGACGGTCCATTCTGACAAAAAAGTTAAAAAAATAATTACAAATAAAAAGGCCAAAAACCATTGAACGGGTCGACGGGTTGACGGTTTGACCGCTCGGGTCAATGGGTCGTTGACTGATTCAACGGTTTTTGGCCAGGGACCGGGTTTGGGGAAAACGGAACCAGTTGCCTGAATGGTTCCCAGGCCGAATGGTCCGACCGTCCAGGTCAACGACAGTTCAAAAACCATGACAACAACTAAACCCTATTAATCCCTTGTTTAGCAAGACTATCATCCAGGCCATTAGCTGATCTTCTAACCCATTTGAAGCTGACTCCCAATTCATATTGTTAGGTACCTCACTCCTCTCATAGCCAGTTTGTGATTCCACAGACCTAAGCTGTCCAGTTGCATCCAATTTACAACTAACAAGGAATCACCTTCAACCTCAAGATTTCTGAAGCCAAGTGGTTTTGCAATCCGCAATCTTTGCTGAAGAGCAAGTATTTCTGCCCTCAAATAGTCTCCATGACAAATTGCTTCTGAGTATGAGGCCATCAATCTACCTTCATACATGCATGATCATCATAGTAAAGAAGAAAGATAGATAAAAAGCAAAAATTGTGACTGTCACTAAGCATTTATTACATCAGATGTTAAGCTTATCTAAATATCCCTATTAAGTTTCTGGTTTTCTTTTTTGAATAATTTTGTCTAGTTTTAACTAGAATTTTTTTTTCCATTTATTTAGTATGGCTTCTTAGTGAAGCGGCAAAATATTCCATGCTATTTAAATAGGAACCAAACTTGTAAGTTGATTTGCCTCCTAATGTTTCTAGTTCTTTTACTGGTCTTTCTTGGGTTCTTGGTTTTGGAAAGGCTTGAGAGGGATCATGAATCAATTGATGCCTTGTCACTGGTTGATTCCCAAGAAGGTGCTTCTATTCCATCTTGGATCATGGTAGGTTGTGGGCTGTGGACTCCTATGGTTCATTATTGTGTGCCTCTTTTTCTTTTTCTTTTATTTTATTTTGATGTTCTCATTCATTCAGCCCTTGCTCCCTTGGATTTTCCATACAAGTCTATTTGGTTTTGCCCTGTTCCCCCTAATGTCAAAGGATTAATACCTTTGATTTCTTCAACATTGTAGTAATTGGTACCTTTGTCCTCATCTGGTCATTATCTAAGGCAAGTTGTGAAATCACATTTGACTTGCTAATTTCCTGCTATTTGTGACTGGTATTGGGAGCATTTTTCTTCTTATTTGGGTTCACCTAGATGCCTTTTCTGGAACATTGAAATTTTGTTTTGACCTTCATTCTTCTCCTAGAAAAGAGTGGCAAGACCTATGGAGATGCACATGGGCTTCTATTTGGTTTGTGTGCAAGGAGCATAAAGAATCTTCACTTGCAAGGAGCAAACTGTGGATGCCTTTATTTGATTTAGACTATTTCTATTTAAGTGGCTCATCAGGTATGGACTACAGATGTCTTTATGATGTACACCTCATCGGATGTTATTATCAGGAACTGGAAATCAGTGGCCTCATCATCAATAATAAGAGGTTTTAGAGTTCAGCATTGATCTCTTCCACTCAATCATGTATGGAACTACAGATAAAACTTGTGCTTTAGAAGCCTGTACAATTCAGGTATTGGATATTTGGATCATATAGGAATGATCAGGGTGGTGTTCTGCTGGTCTATTTATGTCCTATTTGGCCAAGTGACTTAATAAAGATTGAGCTTCATTCACTGCTAGCTAAGGGGGGCTAAAGATTAGGTTCCTTCTATGGGTTTTTCTAAGCTAGAGGTGGAGAGAAATTGACAAATAGCAATTTCAATGGATGAAGATTGGAGCAGTGGTTCCATGGAAATTGGGATGCTTCATTTGGGAATCCAAGGCTTTGTCAAACAACTTGAATGCCTTATTTGTTGAGGTGTTCACGTTAGCAATTCTCCTGCTGACTCTCTTGCAAGAGAGGCTGTTTATTGATAGGATTTGTATTTGATTTTTGGGGCTTACCCCTGGGCTATTTTGCCTTTCTTTCTTTTGGGACTAATATATATTGAAAAAAAGGTAATGTAATATTAATTCTGAAGAAATACATACACATGAAGGAGCAAACAAGACTGCCTCCCCCAGCATCAGATGTCCCATAAACTAACTGAATTTAGAATCAGGAACATATTCTGATTTCTAAACTCAGGAACAACTGATAACCAAGAAGCTAGTTTAGCCACAATACTATTGATCAACTCATCAGAACTTTTACAAAGATCACTAAAAACTCTGTTATTCCTCTCAGACCAATCCGAGCTGATCACTGCAGCTGGAGTGGTCCTCCAAATGATTTTTCCTCTTTTGGAAAGACCCAGAATATACGAAGCTGTGTAGTTCCTGAATCGATCTTGGCATCACCCAGTAAATGCCCATTGCATGAAAGAAGTGTGACCAAACTCTACAAGTCAAGGAGCAATGAATACATAAACGATCCATGGACTCTTCCTCTTTCAAATTCTTTTGGGACTAATATTATTTATGGGGGATATCAAAAACAATATGAATCCCTTGAATAGTTGCCAAAAAAAAAAAAGAAAAAGTTGTTGAAAAGCTTTTTGATGACGGAGAAGATTTTAAGTAACATAAGTTAAGGCTTTTTGATGAAATTGTGAGAACAATATGTAATAATTCCAGTAAAGGGGCATGACCCAATGCTGGTCCTAACTATCTGGGGTCTTGGGAGGGGATGGACTGGATGTAGAGCTAGCCTTTGTCATTTTCTTTCATAGAGTGGTTGCTGTCAGACCTGAATCAACATTCTCATGTAGAAGCTGAAATATCTTAAATGGTTATTGTATTATTAGTTTGGGTAAATGCCAAAATCAAAGTTTGATGTAGTTAATGGTGCATATGTCACAATTGGTTGCTTTAAGATCTGTTATTTGTTTATTATTTCTGTAACTTTTTATATTCCAAGACATTCATAAAAAAAAAACTTTTTATATTCCAAGAGCAAATAATTAGAAATTAAACTCATTAACTCTTTAAAGCACGAATGTGAAAATAGCCTGAGAAGTTGGCGTATTGTGATTTCATTTGTTCTTGCTGGCTTTTGTTTATTATGCATTGTCTCTTCCATGTTTTACAAGTTTGTGTTGAAATATTTGAAAAGATTCTTTAGGATGTTATCGTTTTTGTCATTGATATCATCATGTATTCATGTCCATCATCGACACCTTATTCCAACCATTTGAGGTTGGGTACAAGAATATAATTCTATCATGCAGTCCATCTAGGGTAATATCTATTCTGTGTTTACATGTTCAAATCTGTTTAGCTTTTCCTTATCCATAAGTGTTTTTAGCTTGCATTAAATCTCTCTAGTAGTTCATTAATTCTTATTATAGTGGTGATTTAGAGACATCTTAATTTTTTTAATAAAGAACACATCTTGGTAAAAATACAATAATTGACCAATCATACAGGGTGAAACAAGTATGTGGGGACTGGGGATCAGGTTCCTACGAATTCTCCTCTTCTTTCTAATTGATTGTACATTAAGAAAAGTCCTACATCTTTGTGCCTTTCTTAATGACCTAAATTGACCATTAAGGCTTCTTGGATGGTGAACTTCCTTAGGATATGCCTGTGAGGGCCCCCTCCTTCCTTTTCGACTCTCTTTCATGAGAATTAATGACCCAATTTATCAGTTGACTTTGTGGATGCAAACCTTTTCCAGGTGTTGCCTAATTGCCTATGCTTCAATGTAGATTTACTCTATCCCTGTCAGTCTGTCACCTGCTTGTCTATCATCAAATGCTTGTATGTTTGAATATGCATGGATATCATATAAACTGGATGAATGATTTTTCGTAACATCTATTTGTAACTAAAGCTATTTTGTTCAGGCCTGAGACAGAGGAAGAAAAGATGCTTAAAGAAGAGATTGACCACCTTAGGAAGGAGCTAGAGAAAGTAGCTATTGATGCAAATGGGGAATCTCTGCAAGAAGCGTCTGGAGGAGAGCAAACTACATTACGTGAATTGATACTTCACAAAGAGAGGGACCTAGAACTGCTTATTCGTGATTTAGATGACAAGATTCGGTTTGGGCAAAAGGTTGTTGATAGGCCTGGCTCAGGATCAGGCAGGTCTGCTTCCTTTCCTGAGAGGCCACCCTCCCAATCTAGTTTATCAGAGGAGTCTAGAAGCATGGAATTCATGGAAAGACCTAGATCCCGTGGCACTGGAGATGTATGGATAAGGCCTGGAGACGACAGGAGAGGGTTTCAGGGAGGAAGGGAAAGAGGTTTCCTTGGTAATAGGGACATAGGCAGGTACAGCATGACAACAACTCGGATATATACTTTTTAATTGTTTGGTTTCATAATTTGACAGGGGCTCTTTCACATCACCTTTTAACATTTGAAAACATTCATATCTCCCAACCCCTATCATTTTCCGTATGGGTGACCCTGAAAACCAATACGATACGCCATGTGGTATCCCTGCATTGGACGTATCGTAATGATACTTCAAACCTTGCTGACAAGGGCTCAAAGTTGTCTTCCTGTATGTGGAGCAACTAGGATTATTTGTCAACCTACATATACATCCATTTTGTGGGGATGGGCGTCTCTGTCTTGATTTTTTTCTATGGACTTGAAGGTTTGTTTCTTTCTTTTCTTCCCCTCTCTCCATGGGCTCGATCACTTAAATTGGAATTGACTTACCAAAAAAAGTTGAAATTAAAATCAGAACAGAAAACCACAATTCTTTTATTGCATATTTCTACAAGAATGCCATGTGAGAATCAATTGCATGCGATGAGTCGGTGTTTGTATGTTTCCTACTTATTACATTTGGATTGATTTCGGATGTTTTCAATTTTCAAGATGCTGATGTCTGCAATTGTTTGGTTTTGTTATTTTGGCAGGTCTAAATCTAGGGAGAGATGGTGAGAAGTCTGTTGGTGTGGGTTCCTTGGATTTTCTTGTTCTTTTTTGACACCAAACAGAATAATGTTTACCCTTTCTTTGTTCCATTTTGTTTTGTTTTGCTCTCTTTTCCTCCTCTATGGGTTTTGCACTGGAGAAAGGCAGGCGAAAAGCATCCAATACCAGAAAAACCTTGCATAATTTATTGTTACCTCCTGATACAGTGTAAAATTGCAAATTTTTTCCTCTCATGATGAGGCAACCAGCCTGTAGTCTTCTTAGACTCCCTCTCCTAATTAAAATTTTAATGCACATTGTCATTGTGAGACTTACATCCCTTCTTTGTTGCTGGAGATGGTTACACTGCCGTGGTTGGAACATTTGAAATGGTGGATTAGTAGTCGATCAATCTTTGCCTAAAGTAAAGCTTGTTTGTTTATATCTGCCAGTCATTGCTATGCTATGCTAATAAAGTCCTGTTACAAGCATGCTCGATACGCTCTGTGATAGGCAGTCTGTTACCGTGGAGTACAAATGCAAATATGTACAGTGCAAATACATACAAAATACAAGGTTTTGCACTCTACATATTTGTATTTGTACTCCTGTACTCCTTCGAAACTCAACCTTGATAATGGTATCGATGGATTCAATCCGGAGTAAAAAATGCAAAGTTTAAGGCATTCAAGCAATGGAAGGCTTAATGACATGTTTCGTGTTTTGCTTTTACGTATCTGTGGGCATGCCTGGTCCTGATTCCTGAACCTGATGCATCATGGCTTTTAACGTAGGCACTGTCGTCTCTGGAGATCAGTACGGTAGGACTAAGAGCACCTCTACCTCAATTCAAAAAATTGGATGCCATGCCCACATTTGCATAAATGTGATGTGATTAGGACTTGTCCCCCTAACCCTAAAGAACATGGATTTTCCATGGTCAAGGGAGTGCGATTGCTTCTACATCCAATCCAAGTTGCTTTAACTTGGATGCTACTGCCCTACTAGGGGGTAGGGGTTCCCTTTGAATAATGCCATATTCCCTTTTCACAGGAAATGGAAACAAAATAAACTGAAAACACGAAATAGATCGAAGTATCCTTTCTCGAACTGAAGAGATGATGATTACAGGAACATAGAAACACACGCACTCTCTCTCTCTCCCTCCCTCTCAGCTGTCAATAGAAGCGCTAAGTCCAAGCAATATAACAGCAACAGCTCCACTGAGAAAACCGATAAAAATATTCTTCCGTACATCACCGCCAGCCGGCGGCATCGGCGGTGCAGATGGAACAGGAGGAACGGATCCAATTTCCATCGGGGCCGTTTGATCAGGAACAAACGAATATATTGTATTGTTGTCAACAACAGGAATCCCCGTAACGCAACCTACCAGTGGCAGTGGATACAAACCTCCAGCTCCAGGGATACGCTCGATGCAAGCGGATACTCTAATCAAACCCTGAGCCCTCCCTGACGGTCTCCACAGCTGCAAAGTAAATAGCTCTCCTTCGTATTGGATCTGGGAGAGGGAGAGAACCGTGGACCCAATGACCTTCTGATTGTGGACTAGGAACGAAGGCGAGAGGACCTGGATCATGATGCGGGAATTAGGGTTTTGTAGGGTTTGATAAGATAAGGGGAATGAGAGCTGCTCGTTCCAAATGGGGCTCGTGGAGGAACTGTTTAAGATTCTGGTGGATCTCTTGACTTGTGGGTCGACCCAAGCGACTGTAAACGATTTCATTCTTCCTAGAAATCGAATCCCCTTTAAGCCTTCTGCACCGATAACTGTCAGTTTCAGCGTTGCTTCGCTCTGCTCATGCTCATTCTCCCGCCCCGCCATTTTTCGGGTTCCGATATGCATGAGTGTGTAACCGCCGACTCAAATGCTGGATATCAAAAAAAGCTAATCAACGACAAACAAAAAGCAGAAAAATTTGCTTCGTTCACGAAAAGACCCAAATTTTAGGTAAAAATAAATGGACAAGATATTGAAATTCCGACCAAAATCTTGAGTTCTTAACTACTGTTGTTTCTTTTTGAGAGGAAATATTGTCAGCATTAATAACTTGATCAGTTGAATTCTGGATTTTTATTTTATAATATTTACATATTTTTTCTCATTCATATTAAAATTATTTAATATTTATCATCACGCTCAACGTTTTAGGTTGATTGTCGACCTGATTTTTCATATTTCGAAACATTGGTTGTTCCCCTTCTCCGGAAATTCGGTTTGTTTTCCTTTTCTTCTGGGCAGCATCCTCTCTTTATTTCCAATACAACAGATGCAACAGATTCACAATTAACAATTTGGTTTCATTCCTGAGTGCATGCTCATATGCTTTTTTTCTTTTCTTTTTATTTTTCTTTGAGAAATCAACCTAGATGAGATGCTGATCTCCGATGCTAAGTTAAGCACAAGTGATTTTGATTTGGTGTATCACAAGTTTCGCTTGGTTATCTATCTACTCTATATCATTACGGAATGGATGCGCTTTCCATTCAGTAAACGGAATAAATCGTGTGAGTAGATTAGTGGTCTCATGTGCAAACATTTTGTGCGTGTAGATGAATCTAAACAGAGCATGCCTTTCGACTTTCGAAGCCAAGGCTTTGGCCAAGACTTCACAAATTGCTTGTTGTAGGGAGAAGGAACATGGGTTTTGAGTCTCTTCGAGAGAGCTCAGCCTTTCGAGTCTCTTCACAAACTGTTTTGAGTTTCCCTGCTGTTGCGAAGGGAGAAGGAGAACAAACAAGTTTCCCTATCCTTTCTGGTGACCTTCGAGGAAGAAGTTCTCTTTTGCTCTCTCTGTCTTGCCCTCCATGGCTCTGTTTTGGAATCCGAACGAAAGCTTACATTCCACAAAAGAGACCTTCCATGAAAGAGGAAATCCGATGACCATCATTCTTGCAATCACTACCTTCTTTTTTGGTATTGTGTACTCTATTCCAACTAGTGATTGACCCCATACCAAGTACGGGGAATCAATAATGTTAAATTTACATTATGGATTCAGCGATGTTAAATTTATATTTATTAATATTTTAAATAATTAAAATTTCAAGAAATATTTATTTCAAAAAATAGGTTTTCAATAATTATTAGAATATGGATAATTTTCTTTTGTTATGATTGATAGAATGTACGTGGATAACTTGCAATCACTACCACTTTTGCATTTTTTAGGAATGGATTGAAAATGATGGTATTGGGTTGTGGGCTTTAGCAGCAACTTCTCAGAAAATGCCATGTGTCTAGCTTTCCAAAAAAATGAGAAAGCCATGTGTCTGAATGGTGGGGGTTGTGGGCTTTAGCAGGAATTTCTCAGAAATTGCTATTTGTCTAACTTTCTAGAAAATGGAAAGGCCAGTTGTCTGAATGGTGGTAGTGGGTTGTGGGCTTTAACAACAACATTTCAGAAAATGCCATGTTTAAATTTGAAGAAGCCACATGTCTGAATGGCGGGGGTTGTAACCTGAAAACCTTCCTTTAATATATACTAGCAGGGACCCGTGCGATGCACGGGAAAATCTAAAAGATTTAATAATTTTATTTTTCATTTAATGTTGATTTATAAAAAATAATTATTGTTAATTGAATGTGAACAAATATTTTTTAATAAAATTAGTTTTATTAATAATTTGTAGTAATTTAATAATTTTTATTCTTTTTTATTTTTAAATGAAGTTTTGATTAATTTTAAATAAATAAAAATAATTATAAAAGCTAACATTTTTATTAATTCCACTAATAATTAACAATTATATAGGAAAGACAATGGGGTGAGTTCAGGGTAGGGCACCCCATCCATTGACTTTCCCCATAGTCAAGACACTCTACCCCATCCCTGCCCCGTCCCCAGTGTCACGCGGATTCAGGGCAAGGTAACCACTACTCAATGTCGGGCGAGTTCAGGGGCAAGGCACCCCATTCCTCATCAAGAATGGACAATCCTCGAATTTCCCTACCCTGTCCCCAGTATTAGGTGGGTTCAAGTAGAGGTGTAAATTGGGTCATGCTGGGACGACACGACACGACCCGCATGTGGCCCGCACAAAGTGCAAGTCGTGTCATGCTGGCCCACGAGGCATCCTAGGTTGTGCCTCCCTCCTCTAGGATAATTTGGGGATTGGTTCGGCATGGCCCATGGCCCAAACCCGCACAGGCCCATGCCGTGCCGTGGGTCGGGTTGGTCCATGGGCTGAACCTTGGCCCAGGCCATGCTGCACACCAAGCCGGGCTCAAGGCAAGACACCCAATCCCCATCCAAGGTTTTCAAAATTGGACCGGATAGGGAACTGTTCTGGGGTCGAATGGTCTGACTATTCGGTCTGAAAGGATGACTCACTTTGACAAAAAAAAAATAAAAAATTAGAAAAACATAAAAAAGCCAAAAACAGTTGTCTAGGTTGATGGTTTAGCTGCCTAGGTTAGCGGTTCGCTAACCAAATAAATGGTATTTGGACAAAAGTGCGGTTTTGAGGTGAAATGGTGTACGATTCCCAATTTTTCCGGTCTAACCAACTGGTTTGATCCAGATATGAAAACATTGTCCCTGTCAACCCATGAACCCAATATTCAATTTGATGATAGAAATGATCAAAAGGATATATTGAGTATCAATCACATGGTAAATTTCTAAAAGTATACTAAATTGTCTTTAATATTCAAAAATCTAATTTTATGAAAATTTTGGAAAATTTATTGTACTTGTGTAATTTTGAAAATTTATTTAATTTTTTATTAAATAATTTATTTTCTTTTTAAATGGTTTACTTACAGAATTATACTAATTTATCTTATAATTTCTAATATAAACAAACCAATAATTTTCTTTTTCCAATATTATACTAATTTATCTTAATAATTTGTGTAATTATTTGTTTAAATTATAGTTTTCCATTTCCCATAGTCATCTATCTTTAATAGTTTTCAATAATTTGCGATGAAAATTACATAATTTTTCAATGGTTTTCCAAAATCTATCAAATGTAATAAAATTTCCTAAATTTTCCAAAATTTTCTAATAATTTTCAATAATTATTTAATGCATTTTAAATAAATTTTCAAATACTTTATATCTTTTAATTTCAAAAATGTTATTGTACAAAAATGTGGTTTTATGAAAATTTTTGAAAAATTTATTACATTTGTGTAACTATGGGGATTTATTGATTTTTTTAAATTGTTATTAAATATATATTTTTATTTGGTAGTTTACTAACAAAATTACACTAATTTATCTTTTATTTTTCAATATAAATTAATTAATAATTTTATTTTCTAACATTATAATATTTTATTCCCCATTTGTATTTGGTTATTAATTATAATAATAACAATAACTAAAATTTTATACTTTTTGATATGTATTAATTATATTTCTCAATTTTATATAAATTAGTTAAAGATTTTTTAATTTCTTATAAAGTGTTGTTAATGAGTTAGTTAATAACAATATTTATTAATTTCTGGTAATTTACTAACTGTACTAATAAAAATATTTAATTTTTGCTAATTTACTAACTGTATTCCTTAACTTTTGATAATAACACTATTTAATACTCTTTGATATAGGTGGGATTAAATATTAATCGTATTTAATTATTTATTAATTAATATGAATATTTTAAATGAGGGAGAGTGGAGCCAAGCCTACTGTAGGGTGGCCATGATGTCTCAGACTGCTTCTCTACAACAGGGTGGAAATCAATCGGAATCTGAAGTTCTTCGGTCGGACACTGGGACTGCAGGTGGCTCTGCCACATCCTGCTCTGATGTCACAAGGGATGAGAGCTGCCCGCAGTTCTCGGTCTGTCCTGCCCAGATTGAGATTCGTAGTAGCATGCAGGGTGGAGTGGGCATTATGAGGAATGGTTCACAAGTTCGGGTTCCTGTCATGCGATGAGGGATGACGATGATCACAACCTCCAGATCAGCTCAACTAGGGCGTTTTATTCTTTGAAATCCGTTTAATTGCCATAATAATCTTCTGAACGGTGTGAGGAGCAACTGGTTGTGTTATAATGTGCAGATGGTCGCTGATAGCAAGGAGGCTTCCAGGATGAACAGACAATGAAATCAAGAACTACTGGAACACTAAATTAGTAAAGAAGGTAAAAGACCATCCTAAAACAATAACTACTACTCATAGGCACTCAAACGTGTCTAAAGATGACGACGACGACAACAACAAGAAAAAGAAGCCAATCGAGCCATCACCGACGGCCGACACGGAATCTAGAGTGGTTCGGCCCAAGGCAGTGAGGTGCATCAAAGTTTTTCTCAGTCCACCATGCAACCAGCTAGTTGAACACGTCAACATTAATGATGCCAGTGCTGCGGTAGTGCCCTCCACCTCCACGGTTGGCGTCGACGTTGCGACCTCCACAGCGATGGACTCAGAATTCTACGACGGGCTGTCGTCGTTCACTCTGGGGGAAGATAATTAAGTGGATTTTATGATGGGTCTCAATGCGGCCGAGTTTTGCCTATCTGATCTAATCAATTCTAACTTGTTCCAGCTTTTCCAGTTCGATAATTGACATATGGCGGGGAAGGCTGGCTGGTGCTATGACGACAACAATGAGTTAACTCTATCTTTCCGATTAGGGCGGATTTTGCCCTCCAATGATATTGTGATACATGGCAAATCGGAACAATTAGGTGACACTTGAAACCACTTAGGCAACAACTTACTTTAGCCAACTTGATGGTGTCCCACCTGGCGGCCTAGCCCAGCATGAACTGGTGGCCTGGCACAGGCGCGAACTGGTGGCCTGGCCCAGGCGCCGACCTGGTGGCCTGGCATAGGCGCCGACATGGCGGCCTGGCACAGGCGCCGATCTGGCGACTTGCAAGACGTGCTCGTCGACAAATTTGGCATGCATATCCTAACACTCCCACGATCCTTGGAAGTTGGCCCACGTTCCGAACGATCCAGAGGGTGGTCGACGTGCATGGCGGTTGCCTCAGGGAATCTCGGACCACTTAGATGACTTCTCGGAAATCTCGGATGCGGTGCGTGAAGCCTACGCCAAACAATGCCTATATAAAGGCATCAACCCCAATGGCATAGGGGGGCAAATAAGCATATTCTATCTCTCGTACTTTGTGATTTTTAGCTTGCAGTCTACTATGAGAATACTGACTTAAGCATCGGAGCGACCTCGCCGGGTTAGGCACCCCGGGTCCTCTGACATTGATTCCTTGTAGGTCTCTAAAGAACTACGAAGCTCAACAATCAATCCAGCTCGCCACCAGGCAGCTCGGCCCTCTGGTCAGCTCGGCATCCAGGTCCTCAACCAACAAAAGTTCACTTTGGCCTCTGAGTCATCGACCACTTGGAAGCAAACCAAATCATGAGGTACTTAGCACAAAAAATTGATTTTCATTTCTCATCAACCTCTCTTTCACCCTGACGAGATACTGGAGGAAAAGACGATAAGCGACTGTGCTAAGCCCGACGTCATTTTAGACCTCCACTCTATGTTTATGGCCACTTTTCTTGATTGCGAAGAGAATTCAATAGCACGATAATTCAAGAGATCGTCTTTGGGAGAGAGAGAGAGGGGGAGGACTTCGAAAGTCTGTCGTTGCTGTTTGTGTATCATGAGATTGGAGAAGATGAACAACAGACCAAATCGC